AGGAAGTGAAGTGTGTCCATAAAATAAGAACTACCCTAAGAATTAATTACTGTAATAGCAGAGATCTTTCTAAATGCTCCCCAGCTGGAAATCACCTTGACCGCCTCAGGACAGACTTGCTCGTGATGCTGCGCAATCTACTCTCCAGCCTAGATACAGAATCAGCTGATTTCAGGTATGTGGAAAGCATTAATTCTCCCTGACAAGTCTGAGCAGAGCATTAAATTCATTGGGCATTCTAAGTCACCTGTGTGGGAGAGTGAGTGTGCAGGGGAAAGAGAGAGGCAGATTTAGGCACAGTTCTTAGCAAGAGCTTTACCAGGGAGAGCCTGCTCCAGACATCAGTGCTGGTAACAGGCATTAGCATTTGGTTCTGACTGCCAGACAAGGTAAACATGCGAATTCCACCCAGGAACTGCACCAGGCTCCTGACCCCTGCAGCTGGCAAACGTTCTCCACAAGGCAGAGGTAAGAGAACTTTCCATTTTCACCTGCTTCTCTGTGCAGAGTGCATGCATTTACAGAGCTGCTGCAGCAATCACTGCACACCTTCAATACAGAATACACTCATGTCTGCTATTCTTTTTCCTGCTTCTGATGTTCAGAGATCATTGTCTCCAAAGGGAGGGGGAGTAAAGAGTTCTGAAACATCATCTGAACTTCAGGGTTTTCCCAATTCTGATCTGTTTCACATGTGCATCTACCAGGACTTATTTACACTCCACACATCTGGTGCCAACCAGCTATAAGAAGGTATTTGAGTAGTGATTTCTGGTTTTTTTTTAAGCTAGTTGATAGATGACAGCCTTCCACTGGCTCTCAAAGACAAACCCATTCTTTTTGAGCACAATGAGTTATCCTCAGTAGTCAGCATCCCTGCTACAATAAATCCAAAGGGAACATCCAGCCATTGTCCTGGAGTCAGTCACTGTGCTGATTTACTGGGGGCTGTTTGGTGCTTTGTTTTTTTTAATGTCGCCCTATACCTTCAGATTGTCTTCTGTATTTAATGTGCAAGACCAGCCTCATTTCTAGCACAATCTCTTCAATACTCCTTTCCTCTTGAGAAAGCAGCTGCTTAGACTGGAACATATTGGTTTGGTTACTGAACAGAACTGGTGATGTTGATAGCAAATCTGGCACTTTGAGACATGCATATAAATCTTGGTTCAGATGAGTTTCCCTATTTAGATCAATCTATATGCACAGAAGAAACACATCTTTGCATCTGTGTAACCTGAACACTGAAACCCAGGTCTCAGCAGAGATTGACTATCTGTAATGCACTAAAGACAAAGAGGTAAGCAACAGTACTTAAGCAGCCTCTTGGAAGAGTTTTGAAGCTGCTCTCCATACCTCTGCCTCACACATACAAGGAGGTGGCAATTTGTAATCTGCACTAAAGAAGAAAAGCAGGCTCTTTCACCTGCAGGTGATTTTGGCTTTGGCACTGCACTCCTGCTGCAACATGGGGACAGATGCAGCGGCTGGATTGTACCTGGTGACTAAAACTGTCCAAAAGAGAGAAAAAGGAAGATTTCCACTTGTAACCCATCTGTTCTGAGTGGGGAATACTTGTTATCCATCAGGAGAAGCCAAAGCAATAGAATCAAAGTGAAATGCAGAGCTGCAGTGCAAGGTAGCATAAGGATGTGCTTTGCCTATTAACACATTCATTTATATTCTTTACTGTGCCCCCACTAGAACTACAGTGTCACCCTAAAACTCTCCTAATACAATACCCCATATTGCTGGTTTCCCTCTATTGAAAAAGGGAAGGGCTCAGAAAGAAATTGGAAAGAAAAACGGCAGGCACTTGGAACAAAAAAGTGTGAGATTCACTGGTAACTACTTGTCTGTGTTCCCTCACCTATGGATGACATTTCAAAATGAGCTGCTTTTGCTGTTTGTATTGGAGAGAAGGAAAATACCTTTCCACAGAGCAATTCTTGTTGCTCTTGATTTATACATGACTTTCTGCATGGGCAGGAAGTACAAATCCCTGGCATCCAGAGGTATGTGGTTTTCTCTCACATCTTGGTACAGACCAGCTTATAAGGAGACACAAAGTGTAACAGATAGAGATGGTTGTTTCCATGGTAGCAATATTTAAGACACATAATGCTAAAGATGTCAGCACCATGTCCTGTTTGGTTCCAATTGGTTTTGGACACTAAAGGAGCTGCTTATACATCTGATGTAGCTGATTCATACCTGCAGGAGAACTCAAGAGCACTGGCTGGGAAATAACCACCCGGTTGTTCATGCAGCCCCTGATTCTGTTGGAGCATGCAGAGAGCAGCAACCACCAGAACATCTGTTCAGCTGACCCAGCACGTCCGCTTCCATCAACACGAAACACAACACACTGAGTGCAACCTGAGTAAGCTGTTGGGAGAAGTTCAGTCAGCCCTGAGGAAAGACTGTGCAACGCCTCAGGATGGCAGGGAACTAGATCAGACAATACATTCTCATATGGTCCTAGCATTGGGGTTTTGAGGTACACATCACCTCATCTAACCACCTGAGTAAAGCAAACGTTTGCACGGGGGAAAAAGGTATAACCCTTCACCATTTTTCTCTTTACAATCAGTTCCTTCTAAATGAAGCATTGAAGGTCAATTTGACATTGTAAGCAACTAAGACACGGCAACCAAACTTCTGAGAAAGGTGCCAGTATCCTTGAATACATCTTCTTCCCATGCCATGTCCCAGGTATAGCCAGATTCTCCCAGGGACATAGGAAAGCTTCTAAATTGGTTCCCATGAAAAGACCATTGTATAACAGCTCCAGAGCAGCTCCCTGCCTCTGACCAGCACCACGGTAGCTGTGGGTCGTTTGGGATGCCTTACGCCTGTGGAAGCACCTCTCCAGTAAACAGTCATAGGTGCACAGTAAAAGCATCCAGAGGAAGCAGCCATCGGGAGTGGCTGCTCACGTCCCACCCCTCCAGCGTCCAGTGTACACATCAACCATCTGGGGCTTTTCCAGAGCTGTAACCCTGCCACTGCAAACTCCACAACTCCAAATGGCAGGAACACAACTTCCTTTAGGTACAGAGCAAGCAAAATGGGAAAAATCCTTTCAAAGCAGCCCAATGCAAACAGCAAACACCTCACTGCTTCATATGGGTTTTGTCTACATTGCTTTGTGCAAAAGGCCTGTTTTCCAACAATTGAAACCTACTGAGTCTCAGTTTCTGGAAGAAGAAATCCCCAGATCAGTGTTCACCTTTACATCATTGTAAGGACAGATTACACTTTTTAAGCTAACGTGTAAAATAAGGGTCTAATGGGTGGTGACCTAGGCCAGCAGATGAAAGAGTGGGACAGGAAGGTTTCTGCAGTCAGCTATTGCCACTGTAACTCTGATAAGTCACAACACTTCCCTGTGCCTCAGTTTCCCCATTGAGGTATAAAGGAAGTGAACTTCTTTTAGCACTTTCTGGTTGCAATACGCTGCGGAAAGAAAGCAGTTTATGAATAACTTTGTCAAATAGGGGACTTAGGGAAAAGGAATAACAAGGAAAAAAAAAAAACATTTCCACTTTGCATCATCAAATCTCCTTTGCCAGAACTAAAATAGGTCCTTCCCCTTAGAAGCAATGAAGGCAACAGGGGCCTCACTGCACTGGTGGGAGGTGTCAGAATGACAGATCACTCTATTTCAGTGAGCACACAGAGCTGCTCAAGACTATCAAAATTAATGAGTCTGCAGACATGTCCTTTACAGCCACTGAAACCTGCCTGAAAATGGGCAATGGAAGGACTTTGCTACTGAGCAGGTTATTTCAGAGCTAAGCTGCAAGAGTAAAGGAAATACAAACTGCTTCTCACTACTGACTTTCCAGCCTGATGCTTGGATCGGCCTCAACTGAGCCGCTTTGGGCCACATTCAGATCACTTGTTGATTCTCCACCTGTGAAATGGACACAGTAACACCCTGCAGGATCTTACAGCCATGTTACAAGAATAACTACATTTAATCCTGTGCAGTGATTGTCTATTGCAGTATTATGAACCTGAACTAAGTCCTCAGAGCCACATTGTAACACCACCACTCTTCTGCAGTAAGGTACATGGACGTACGCAGGAAACTAATCTTTTGCTAGCTTCTTGCAAACACAAACAAGAGATCACTCATCACTAAAACCATAACGTTATCCTTAAGAGCATCCTTTGCTCTGTAGCTGCTTTTCACAGATGGACACCAGGATCTGCACGCATTTTTTCCAGCTCTTTGCGTTCTTACGCTCTTCTTCAGATGGTGGGATGGGAACAGCTGCCTTCACACTTGACAGAGCCCAAGATGACATGACTTGGAGAAAGGAGGCAAATCCTCACAGGGGCTTTGAAGCAGAACACAGACTAGAAGAGGAGACTTGATACTCCAGCAGAAGAAACTGGCACTCGTTGTTTCCTACCCCATTCACACAACAGGCCTGCATGCCCATTCTTGGAAAACTCTGTGTGCACGTTCCCAGTAAACGGGGCTGCCACAGAGAAATCCCTTCTTTGCCCTCAGCACTTCCTCCTGAGCATGCACAGAACTTGGAGTGCCGGGGAAGCGCTCAGGTCATGAGAGGTACCAGCCTGAGAATTTATATAGTGTGAACTTTGGCTGCGACTTACACGAGCTCCATAAAGCAGCCTGCGAGGGGAAAAGAACCCAAACAAACCGGCTTCTCCCTCCTTCCAAAGTCATTTCTGGAAAAGAATAACCCCCAAGGGACATCACATGCCTATCCTGCCTTCTTTCACTCCCTTCCCAGCTGCTACCAGACAGATTTCCAAGCAGGAGCTTAAAAGAATCCTGTTCCATAGCCTGCACCGACCTATAAATCAGCGCGCTTCACACCAGGAGCTGTTCCCACGCACGGCACCGAGCGCCGCCAGCGCTGCCGCAGCCGGAGGGCCCCGGTGGGTTTGCACCTCCTGGCGCCCCGAGAGCAGCCGCCAAAGGAGCTGGCGGCGGAGCCCCGGGGGCTGCAGGAGAGCCGGCAGAAGCCGCCGCGGAGCTGCCGGAGCGCCGTGGCCGGACCCGGCTGCGCCGCGCTCCCTCCGCCCGCCGCGGCGCTGCCCTGGGGCCGGGAGCTGCACACGGCAGAGCGCGGGGCTTGGAGCATGGCCCTGAGGCACCGGGGGTCAGCGGCTCCTGCAGACACGGGCTCTAGGCGCGTTCTACTCGCCAAACCCTGCATCCGTGCCAGAGGCGGAGCAGACCCAGCTCAGAGACACTCGCAACTCGCAGGAGCTCTGCTTGGACTGTGCTGCTGACAGAGCCCCCCAGACCTGCTTACAGCCACTGGAGGAGGAGGAAGATTCTTCGAAACAGCAAAAGACTTTTCCAAGCGGGGAGTGGAAGGAGGCAGCTTTTCCCCCTCCTTCCCTGTTTGGGAGAAAGGAGTTGCCCAACCTGGTCATGAGACTTTTCCACACTTCCCAAAGCAGGCTCCTGAAGTTATGACACTGCAGCATGGAGAGGCTGGGGTAGTGCAGTCCCGAACAGCCCCCCAGCAGCACACCCCGAGTGCTGGCAGCCTGGCAGGCACAGGAGATGGAGAATGAGGTTGGCAAAGCTGTGGACAATCAGATGGACAAATACGTGTAATAATTTGGAAGTTTCCTTTATCTTCGCTTTGATTCTGCTTTTTCCCTCTCTGATTTGCCATGCATTCATCCCTATATTGATTTAGCTGTGCTGTTAATGCTTTCTCACTATTCCCTCCTCCATTTAGAGTTACAATAATGGGGAAATCAGAAAGTCAAATGGATATTGTGGAAAAATCAACGAAATCTGGAAAGAAATCATGGAGCTTCGTATCCATCGGTCTGGCCGTCTTGCTGCTCCTCATGACCTGTGCAATGGTCACCCTGGTGATCCTCTATGCCAGCAGCAGAGGTAAGGAACCTGGGAATAAAGAATTCCCCTCTTCCCTCCGCAAAGGATATAAAGAGTTTTTGCAGAGCTACATGCAAAGTACAGGGAGACAGCGAGGTCACCCCTGTGAGGGACGCGGCTGCCTCTGCCTTGTGCCAGGCTCAGGCATGGAGAGGGCTAGCTTGGGTTTTCTTTCCTTTTTAAGTTATGTGACCAACATTCTATGTGCTTAATTCGTTTTATGCATTTGATTGGGTTCTGCGTTGTTTTGACAACAGTTCTTGTACTGTTTTAGAAGGAAGGTGTGTGTCTGTGTGCTGACATTTCCTTATCTCATAGAAGTCTGAGTCAAGGTTTGTTACTGCCAGGAGTTGTAAAGCTCCACATGCTTAGCAGATTAAAAGGGAGACTGTTTATTACAATGGTGTGCTGCCGAGGAAGGGAGACTACTTCACTATCACATCAGGCAGCTTGATCCCTATGAGAGATTTCAGGGACTTTGATGCAAAAGTCTTGCCAGGAACCTGACAGTGATGCACATGAAGGTGCTGTGCCTGAGTACGCCAGCAGCAGAGCGTGGTTACTCTCAAAACTAAGTTTTCCCACTAGCACATCAAGTGCAAAGTCCTATTTAAAACCCCTGTGAAGCAGCACTGGTAGCAGCAGCTGCCTCATGTTCCTCATTCCCATCACTGCCTCTTGCATTCAGAGCTTTGCTAAAACACTAGGGAATAAAATCAAGTACGAATAGCAAAACTGAAGTGAGACATTGTTTTCTCCTTACCTTGCCACTGCATCCCCTGCCTGCAGTGAACTGCTTTCCTCAGCACTCGTAAGTAAAACACTGCACAATGCTGAGTAATATTCACAGGAGAAGCCTTTTTACGCTCACGCCTTTTGCTACCAGCAATTCAGTGTTACCACCACTTGTTTCAGTGTTAAATGAAATCTCAGAGCATTTGGCACTGACAATACTCATCAGAAAGTTTATTCTGTTAGTTCAGGAGATGGGAGGAAAGAATTGTTCAGGGCTGTGTCCTAAGGTAGGAGTTTCTGCATCAAAATATTGAGCTATGCAGAATTTTGTTGCATGCATGCCTAAAGGAGGTGAGAAATCTGCTCTACATCTTTGCTGCTTGAGTGCAGGCAAACCAGAGTTCAGGTACCAGTAACATCTGCCCAAATGGTGTCTCATCCCAATCCACGTGAATCATTTGTGCACATGAAGCAAGTGCTGTTACATTTCTTTGCTGGAAGGCTTATCTCTCAGAAAGCAGTTCCAAAATCCCACGTGTTTTGCAGGCTCCTATCAGCAGTTAAACTATGGGCAATGTTTCCCAGATTCAGACATCCCTGTGCACAATGTGAGTGCACGGTGATTGCAGAGCTCATGTGCTGCTTGTCCTGTACAGCAGGCAGTCCCTCAGGCTCTTCTCTCTTGCCTTCAAGGAGTGTTTGCAGCACTGACCTAGAGGCAGCTTCTGCCCGCTTATGTTTGGGTGTGCATAGCTCAATTATTTATAGCAGTTAGCGTCTGTAATACACGTAAATACTGACTGTGATGTTCATCTATGTACCTAGCCAGCAAACACACTGAAGCTCTCACAGCAGTACAGTTACATAGTTCTAGAAGCAGTTTGGGGATTTTTTTGACATCTAGAGAAGTTTCCATACCCATAAAACCTCATCTAAATAAGCTCAAGGAAAATACTGTAAGAATATCAGAGTAATATTTGGGTGAGCATGGAAAGGGAAGCAGACAGAAGTGAAGTCATTTGGTTTTGACACTGAACACACCATGCTCTCAATCTTTCCATCACACCCACACGTACATCTCTGCAGCCTTTCCACAGCTCCCAGCTCTCTTCTACAAATATTTACCAATGTCCAGGTTTCATCACTCCTTGGAAAGGTTGAGGCCAAAGAGCATCACATCATTGTCAGTGGCTTCTCCAGACAACTTAGTTACACACAACTGCCACCCTCACCTCACTGCTAGTCCTGACTGCTCAAAGTCATGTTAATTTAACCAATATTTTATTCACTTTCTGGCTTTCAAGTTTGTAGGGTTTCTCAGAAGCAAGATGCACAAGTGTTGGAGGTTTGCTTGTGTCTGCATCCCCAAAGGTTTGAAGACACTGACATCTGGTACAGCCCTCTCAGAGGAAGAGCAGCTAAATTTGGCAGTGACATTATTTGTGGCAAACAATTCAGTGCTAGAATAGCAACAGAGGCAGTCTGCAGTGCCGACAGCACTTGTGCAGATGAGATCTGTGCGATAAACAGAGAAGGTGCTGAAAGGTAAAGCTCACACTCAACTGCCTGATGGCACTGTGGATCTAATTGTTTCAATGTGTGCCATCCCCAGCCATCTGTGGCCCTCAAAACGCAGTGGGAAAACACTAAACACAAATTGTGCTTGTACCGAATGATTTGCTTTGCTTTTGTTGTCTAAAAAGGAACTTCAGAAATGCTGTGAAAAGCAACTTGTGTTTTAAAAACTGGCCATGCAAGAGATGAACTGGTGAAGGGCAGCTGGTGCTCTGCAGAGCTCAGAAGTTATTCTTCAGCCTGCAGAGCGCTCAACGATTCTTTTCTACCTACAAGACTATTGACAGAGCAAGAGTGTGACCTCCTTAATGAAGTAAATGCAAGGGTAATGCTGCAGAGCTCCTGAATTTCAAGAGCCAGGAAGGAACTGAGTATTGCACAAAGTAGCTCCAGTGATTAAATACTCCTGGTCCGTTTCTGTTTCTTTGCATCCCTCTCTGACTGTTTAAGAGGTCTACAGAGAGAAGGTGTCTCAGGAGGAAGAGGAGGGGAAATGGAGTGATTCATTTTAAAAGAGGAAAACAAGCCTGTAAGGATCTGGATGAACTTGGCTGTGGGAGAAGCCAAGTGGGAGGTGCGGTTTGATGGGAGAAGAGACAAGAATTGATTCCCTGCAAACCTTTCCACTGAGGTCTTCACTTTCTCTGCAGCAGGGGGAACATGGGATTCAGAGCCGAACAATCTGTGCCAATCTTCTTCTACAAATCACCAGCTTCATGCCTTATATTACTGTCAAACATGAGGCCATGTCCCACTTACGATCCCACTCACAACTCTATGTTCAGTAATTTCCCATTACATCCACAGGATTTAGACATTTGTTTTGTTTCAGCTTTCAGGCTTTGAAGAACATTAACTCAAGTGGTCCCTCCCACACCTCTACTGCAGCAGTCTTTGGCCATGGCTATCAAAGCAGGAGTCTTTATGTCATAGCTCAACCTGTCAATAATATTTAAGTAAGGAGGAAAAACAAGTATATAGAGAAATAGAGGTATTTGTACTGAAACTTGGGCAGTTGTCTTTAGCAAAGTAGTTTGAGACAATGAAGTGCGGAGTTGCCTGGCTCAGGCTTCAGGTGTGGTTTATGTTTGTTTCCAGTGGTTTGGAGTTCCAGAGGTGCAGCAGGCAGCACATCAGTCAAGTGAGCAGAGACCCAATGAACACACCGTGAAGTAGAACAGGGCAGTGTTGGTCATCTGTCATACAGTCAGGTTGGCTTGGTTCTTTGTCAGGAGTGCTGCTGAGGCGTAAGAGAGAGTTGATAGAAAGACAAAGGAGCCCCTTTCAGAAGTAGCTGAGAGCCCCTCCCCAGCCATTTCTGGGGTTGTGGCACAGTTTCAGAGCCCCAAGTGTGCAACCAAGGTTTCAGAACAGATTTGACTTCCCTGTTACACAGCTCAGTTACATTTCCACAATCACAAGGGCTCTGTGAACGTGGGGAGTCAGAATCTTGTTGAAAGCAGTTGGGTCCCAGAGACTGAAGTGAGACATTGTCAGGTTACATTAAAGAAGCTAACCAATTGTTACCCATGCTTTGCTCATCCCATGTTCAGTTTGCCAGACACTGAACTGTAATAAGGCATGCAGTTATTCTAATGCAGATCTGCTCCCACACAGCACACAGCTCGCAGCTGAACCCTGAACAGTACATTCCCAATCACAGTGGGGGCTTTTTATCTTGCTTCCACTGATGAACTTCAAAGCCCTCTTCTCCTCCCCACTGCTTTATTTCTCTCTGAATTACTGTAATCTTGTTTGCTGTCACGTAAACCACTTTAATTGGAAGGGGGTTTTAGTAGCTCTTTTCTGCAAACATCCTAGCATAAGGGTCAAACAGAAGTTTAAAACCACAGCTAATCCTGTTGCAAAGGAAGGGTATCAGGTTTTCCTTTTCCAGTGTGGAACCAAGTAGCTGTCTAACGCCAGGAGCTACTGAGCTAGTCCAGGCTCACAAAGAGAAATTAAACCAGCAAAATTAATTAGTTTGCACCTGGGGCAAAGGCCACTCATGAGGCTGGGTGCTTGGATACCCCCACCCCAGAGCCATAGTGAGCAGCACACAGGTGGCCTGACTAGCACCACAAGCACATTCACTTCAGTACTCAGCATGAAAAATTACATGTTCATGTGCAAAGGCTTCTGTGCAAGTCCACAGCAGAACTCTGAAGGTCATGAAAGAGCTTGGATGCTTAAAGCATCTCAATAGATTGTCTAGAAAGGGATCTGATACACTCAGTATGTGTCAGGAAGACTGTGGAGACCATTAGTAGGTATTCTCCCTCCAGGAGAGTTCAGGCTCACTGTCAGGACTGTTGTAATACTGCTTCCAATAAATTCCTCATAAATCTGCAGATAGAGATGTCTTCACAGCTGTCAGTTGGTACCATTTACTGGCACTAACATGCACTCGCTTGCTCTAAAACTAAACAGGGCTGTCACTGAGGTTGACCTGCTCGCAAGTGACATTGGTAGCTTTTTCTTTCCAAAACAACTAATTCACCTGCTTCCTTATTCCTCTTCCTGCAGGCACTCACTATGGCACCAATTCAGGCAGTGTATGTACCACCCCTGGATGTGTTACAGCAGGTAATGATCGTTATTATGAATGATTATTGAGAACTTTCCCTCACAGAGAACGCATTCTACACACGGGGCTACTCCCCTGCTTATTTTTGGCATCTGCTTGTACACCTCAAGACAGCAAAGACTCCAGCACAGATGTTCCCATCACTGCCTTCATTGGTGGGTACCTAAGCTAGGGCCCTAGGGGAGAACTGGCCTGCCATTCAGAGGCTCCCTCTGCAAAGCAGTACAGTTGCACTGCAAGTGTCTGTCAGAGGCTCCCTTGCACTGCATGAGAAAATAGGATCCTTTGAATCACAGTACACGAGGTTATCCTCTATAAGTAGCATAAGCAAGGTGCCTTCTTGCCAAGCAGCTTCTTGACAGCCTTTGGTAGTCCCAGAGATTACTGGGCAGCCTCTGGAATTCATCTCTCCAATTCTGATACCCAGCTGCTAGAATAATCCAGAATATGGACCCAACAGCTGACCCATGCAAGGATTTCTACCAGTACGCCTGCGGGGGCTGGCTGAACCGGCACGTCATCCCAGAGACCAGCTCCAGATACAGCATCTTTGACATCCTGAGAGATGAGCTGGAGATTGTCCTCAAAGGTAGGAATGGGGCTCCTCTCTGCTTGGCTGTGCACTTGTGGTTGGCTTCACACGTTACTTACTGCACATTTCACAGAGAAATAAACTTCCATGGAAGTGTTGTGTTGATTGGGAGTTTTTTCTCTAGTCCTTTAATCTCCACATCTCTTACTACAGCCATTTTGTGGGAACATCCTGCTCCCACTAAAAATCAGCCATAGGTGCTGTGGTAGTAACTTCAAAAGGAGCACAACAAGCTGTAGCATGACCTTCCTGACACTTTCTCCATTAATAGCCTCTTTAAAGAGCACTCTAGTTGCACAGTGATTGAAGCCTACAATAACAGGTACTTATCATAGCCCTGAACTCTGTGATTTCTGTGACAAGATCAAAGCTCTCCAAAGCAGAACTCTCCCTGGTTCTTTCCCCAGGTGTGCTGGAGACTTCAGATCAAGAGGACAGAGAGGCATTTCAGAAAGCAAAAATACTTTACAAATCATGCATGAATGAGAGTGAGTCTCTTCTTATTCCATTAATTCTCGTGTTCAATACCAGATGTACAAAAGTACCAAGGTACTGTTAAGCAAAAGGCCAGTCAGTATCCATCTAATCTGCATGGCTTTGCCTGGAAAGCTAATCTTCAGGTGAAGATGCCTTGGTACATCATTAAGGCTTAAAAGACACATTCTGGGGTGTAGAAAGGACAGATATTTATTATCTTCCTCTAGTATTAATAGAAAGCCTTCCCTTCTGAATGCAAAAACGTGTCCCATTTCCTCCTTTCCAAACTAATTCAGTCAAAATCAGCACTGAAGTCAACATAAGTACTTGATTAATCTTCTGAAGACCAATGTAGGACGATTTAACTATACCTCTTATTTTCTGCTATGACAAGCCCAGTTTCAGATTTAAACTGTCAGGCCTGTTACCTGTGTTAATTCATTCCTCCTCAACCCCCATGGAAGCAATATAATGTCTGGTTTTCCACTCTCAGGTCTTATAGAGCAAAGAGATTCATTGCCTTTGCTAGAGGCCTTAAGGATGGTTGGAGATTGGCCAGTGGCTTCTGCAGACTGGAATAAGACCAAAGGTAATGCTGTGCCTTAGAGTGCAGGAGTGTTAAATCAGAATTGGGAGACTATTGTCATTGAATTAGATCCTCATTTTACCTTTTCCTTCATTAATAAAAATCAGGGTATCATATATATTTAGCAGTGTCCTGTACAAGTATTCCCACATTATGTCCACTCTGGTTCTAAATAGTTTCAGCAATAAGCTTGAAACTACACAACTGATTCAGTCCTCATACATATTGATAAATGATGTATATCTTCCCTTTTATCTCCCAGAGGCAAACTGGAGCATGGAAGAAAAACTCTCCATAATGAACTCCAGATTTAACAAACGTGTCCTCATTGACATGTTTGTGTGGAATGATGACCGGGATTCCAGCAGACACATCATTTATGTAAGGAAAACATTTCAGGGAATTATTTATATGCCAGAATCATAATGGATGGCTATTGAAACTGCATAGAGATCAGCTTCCCTTAGTCAGGGGGTGTGCACAATACTGGCAAAGTCTGTGCACCAGTTCAGAACCCCAGTGGCAGTTCTGTTGGGAAACATTTGATGGAAGCATAATTTTTGTTGCAGTCAAAGAAATAAAATAATCAATGGACCTTTGCTGATTTACAGCATTTAAGGGCTGTAAATTCCTGTGTCCTGCAAAGTGAGGTTTAATATACAGCAGGAAACCGTGTTTTTAAAGTATGCAGATAATTCTTCAGAGCCCGTCCATGTAGCTCATGCAGGAATTCCAGCCCTCAAGTCAAACAACTTCTTTTCTAAGCTGCTTTAATTTATTTTTAGATCCCAAAGGTTACTGAAAGACTTGGTTAATGACCCACAGCAAGCATCCATCCTGCCCTTATCTAAAATCCAGAGACAAAAGCTGCACTTTCTATCTCCCCCCAGTTCCTAAAGGTCTTTGGTTAGAGTGTACTAGTGTCATTCCAACACTGAAAGGATGGCACAGGAAGCATGTTGTGTTGCCTTTCAAGGATGCTTTTGGACAACACCAATTCCTGTTCCTCACTAACTACAGAAATGTACGATTTCCTTCAGATTGACCAGCCAAGTTTAGGAATGCCATCCAGGGATTACTACTTCAATGGGGGCAACTATCAAAGAGTAAGTATTCCTTCTAATTTATTTACAGTGTGCTACTAATACAACTTTATTACTTACCCCTGTGTGTTGGAAACCTCAAATACGTGAATCATTACAACATGTGACAATCAGAACCAGACTGTGATGCTCATTGCTACAGCTTTTCCCAATTACACCGAAATTGGAGAGTTTCCTAAAGGACTGACAACTGCAAGTATCAAACTGCCCAGACCTGGCCACTTCATACAGATGAGGAGGGTTTGGGAAAATAAAATCATCACTGTTTTGAGCTTAAAAGAGTCTCTAATTTTGAAGGATAGATTCATATTTTCAGTGCAGGTTATCTTGGATTCACTTATATCTTCTTCTAAAGCCACTGCTTCTGGCTACTATTTTATAAACTGCTGGAAAGATGGATTATAGACATAGGAGAACTATTGTCATACTGGATCATATTTGAACATAATACCCCAAAATACATTGGGTGGAACACCAAAATATTCAGATTTTTTTTTTTGGTGTTCATTTAGGGGGAAAAAAGTTTAAGGACAGTGTTTTTACATGAAGCTGTATGAATGGAACAGATCCTCAGCCAGTAAGAACCTGCTGCCATTTACCCTCCTTTCTCTCCCAGATTACATGAAAACACAAAACAAACTCCATGCAGTTGTGTTGGGAGCTGCAGATAGCTGCTGGAACTGGGATTCTGTTCTGCAAGTTTCACCTTTATAGTGCCAGATACAGAAGAAAGAGGGACATTTGTGCATCATCACATGGAAATCAGACTTAGATTGACTTGTAGGAGGTAGAAAATCAGGTAACAAACATTAGCAAAAGAAAACCAGTACTGCTCAACACAATTTTAATTTGAAGCTATAAAGAAGAAGGGCAGAGGCTGTGGTTTTAACCTTAATGAATAAGGAAGAGACACGACCCCTTTCTGTTTGGTATTTAACAGCTCACTTCCCACAGACAATGAGCCAAACTGTGATGACCCAAACCCCCCCTGCGCTTAGGCCAGCATCTTTTGGCAGAGCTCCTGCTGAGGCCTCTGGGAACCTGGCCTGATTAAGGCTCAGCATTCAGCCTCAAAACACAAACCATCCTCATCATGGAAATGCCCAGACTCCATTTCGCAACAGTTCCTGTATTTGTCTGGTTTCCAAGGTCTATGAAGGAGGAGCAGGATGCAAGAATAGGTAGTATTAAGCTTTCCTGTATCAGAGATCAGTACTCCCTCAGCAGCCAAGTATTTTTTCAAGGTCCATTCTGAGGCATAAATTACAGCTATACCCTCCTACTAGAAATAAAGCAAAGGTATCACTGGGAACCATCTGAGACAGAGCTTTCTTTCAGACAATAAAAACAGTTTAGAAGATTTATGGTATTACTTTCAGAGAACTTAAAACCCTCCATGTTTACCCTGGTATTTGGCTAGTAGGGATCACTGTTCCCACAGTGTAACTCAAAGCACAGAGCTTTCTTTTTGCTCAAGTAGTAATTTTAACTCAGAATGCCAGAGTTGGATTGCACAGGGAAGCAGAAAGTGTTGCTTTCACTCTGTATTTTGAGACTGCAGATTGCACTCTAAGGTATTCCAGGATGAACTAAGGTCTTAGGTATTGCAGTAGTATCTGTAACAGTGGTGGTTCTGGGGGAAACAGGAAAACTGGAGTGGGGAGGGTTGCACTGGAGGCAAGCGCAAAGGCTGTGACCCTGGGCCCAACTCTTTCACAGCACACCTTAAAGCTAAAGGAACAAGAAGAATGGATGCTCAATGAGAGATGACAGACAGCAAACTTTTTCTTCACAATGCTACACACATGCTCTGTTTCTTGTGTGCAGGTGAGAGAAGCTTATCTGCAGTTCATGATCACCATTGCCAAGATGATCCGGGAAGACAAGAATATGTCTAAAGATGATTCCTTTGTCCAAGGGGAAATGGCAAAAGTTATGGAGCTCGAAACGGAGATTGCAAATGTGAGTACAGAAACCAAGACCTTCTCTGGATACTGGGGAGGGAGCAAGGAGCGAGAAGGACAATCTGGTATATTTGCATGTTATCTGAGTGTGTGTATGTGCACCTGCATGCGTGTGATTTCAGCCACTGTCCCTTGTGCCAGCTGATTCTAGTAATAACCTTGTGAATGTCTTCAGGCAACTACCCCAGCAGAAGAAAGGCATGATGTAACCCTGCTGTACAACAAAATGACCTTAAAAGAACTACAGGAGAAGTTTGCACTGAACGTAAGTGTTGAAAGAGCACCCCGATACTTGCAGCCTCCTCTTACTGCCATGCCCATTGGAAATGGCTTTGTGAATTAATCAGTGATGCAACAAAGAGGTATAAAATCATTCCCATTCTTAATCTTGTACTCAGAGTCTCTTACAAATCAATTTTCTACTGAACACCACTACAACTACATTGAATCCCATAGACTGTAGAAAGTCCAGACAGCTACTAAGGCACTGAAACATCTGGTATTAGCACATGTCTTTCTGTCTGCCTAGGAATTTAACTGGACCTTCTTCATCCAAGGTGTCATGTCTTCAGTAAGTGTTCAGGTGGACCAAGAAGAAGAGGTTGTTGTATATGGCATGCCCTACCTGCAAGAGCTGAAAGCAATTATCTCCAAGTACTCGGCAAGGTAAAGAAACTGGAGAATATCCAAGACAAAATTCATGGAAGTATCATGGGAATGTACATGATCGGGCCCACTCGGAGCCTCTGAGAAAAATGACACCACTTCTCTGTGAAACATGGGTAATGTCTTCAAAGGTCCTTGGGTACCAAAGTATGTGTAGCACTGGGTGTCCCCCTGCTCAGAAAAGTGTAAACGGGAAGAAAAAAAGATACATCACAGGCTTATAGCTCTTGCTCTCTAGAAAGAAATTAATCCCTAACAGACATGGTAGTCCAGTCCTCAGCCTGGAGGCCTCTACAGTGGGTTAGATAAGAACAGTCACCTGCAGATGCTATGAAAGTGATGACTGGCAGCAATCATTTGCTTTCTTATCTCCTTCAGAGTTAAAATCCTCCTCTGCCTGCCTGCACTAGTGTTGCTCTTCCCAGGGGATTAAGCTCAGTTTTGCTTTCCCATACAGCACCATCCAGAACTACCTCATTTGGCGACTGGTGATTGATCGGGTCAGCAGCTTGAGCCGGCGTTTTAAAGATGCTCGGGCCAGCTACAGGAAGGTATTTCCTCTCTTCCTAAAGAGATAATAGAGCATAGTTCTAGAAGAGAGTCCCAGAGTCCCCAGATCAAGTCCTTGTCAACACAATGACATCTTTATGTCATATCATCCCCAAGGAAATCCAAGAACAGCAGTCACAACAATGGAAACCCTTGTCTTAGGTTAGCCTCCTCCTTAGGCAATGACTTAGGGAAGAAACGTACAGGCAGAACTAATCCTGCAGTGCTTTGTATGACAGGCACTTTACGGGACAACACTGGAAGAAGCCCGCTGGAGGGAGTGTGTGAGTTATGTCAACAACAACATGGAGAACGCAGTGGGAGCTATGTATGTCAGGGAGACATTTGCTGGTGAGAGCAAGAGGATGGTATGTAGTTTACCCTTCATACTACTGTACAACCACAATGTCTGCAGTGCCCATTCCCCTCCACCTGATCTCCCAACCTGTTTTGTCTGTTAAAGATGTCAATCAGCCAAGAGTCAGAAGGCACAAGGACGCATTTATGATGCTCTTTTAAATGCTGAGTCCTATGTTTTACTGCACAGAATATGGGGACATCATCTGTCAGTAGGAAGCTTTTCAGCCCTCCTTAGCTCTGCCTGGGAAAAGCAGCATGGAAATGATTAGTTTCTTACTGCCTCTCTTTAGGTCCGAGACTTAATAGACAAGATTCGTGAAGTGTTCATCGAGACTTTAGATGAGTTACAGTGGATGGATGAGTCATCTAAAGAGAAAGCTCGTGAGAAGGTCAGAGAGAACAAGGAACTTCAGTATTCCATCATGAATATGTAATCTTTGGAATTTTGTAGCATCGCTATTCCCAGTTCCTCTACAAATCACAGGAAGAGACTTAGGTGTTCACTATCCTGTTCTCCATTATCCTGTTACATTGTCCTTTTCTTTTTACTCCTTTGTTAGCTCACATACATATTTCCTTCCTTTTAATGAGTCTTGCAAACCACATTAAGTCTCAGTAGGCAATGGGAAGCATTTGAACAAGGTCTTTAAATATTTGCTGCCAGTTTCTCACAAACAATTCAGAGGAAACATTAAACTCTTTTCTTCTAGGCAATGGCAATTAAAGAACAAATTGGCTACCCAGATTATATTTTGGAAGATCAGAATGAAAAACTGGATCAGGAATATGCCAACGTAAGAACGCTGCGCATGCCTTCATGTGTAACAGCCTACACTTATTTTTCTTGCCACTTGGAATACCTAAACCTGTGCAAGTGTGATTTCCAAGTGACTGGACAGCACACAGAATTGATTGTGTTGAACATGCTAACAAATAAATGCATGCAAAAAGCTAACTAGTAAGTGATACCTTGTAATCAAAACATTGTGTAGGAGATGGACTCTGTGGTATGAGGAATCCCTCTGTCCCCTCAGCTTACTCATAAACACACTTGGTGTCTGTTTCTTCAGTTAAACTTCAGTGAACACAGCTACTTTGAAAACATTCTGGAAAACCTGAGAGCTGGAGCCCAAAAGAGCTTGAGGAAACTTCGTGAGAGAGTTGACCAGGACATGTAAGTTACAGCCACAACTGACTTCCAAGGTAAGGGTGACTAGGGGTAAGTCCTACACTGTGGACAGCAGAGAACGCTTATGTCCGAGAATGTCTTGAGACAAAAGTATGTCAAACACCCCTTTACAAAGCCTACAATATCACAGTTATTAATAAGCAAGTAAACAAAGACTCCCCAGAGAGAAGCATCAGTCAAATTCATTGTTGCAAAGCCTGTTCGTTTCTTCTGTCCCTCTTCCTGTGAAGTGGTTTAAGTCAGAATGCAAGCACACAATGCAGACACTGAGAAACCTCCAGGAAGTTACTGGGGAGTCATTCACCAAGGGAGTGTTCTGACCAGTCAGCTAAAACCCAGCATTTTCTGCTCCCTCATTTCTGGAGGAATCAGTCATGGTGCTCTATATAGCAAGAATTCTTGCACAGCACTGATGTCCTTAATCCACAGACTGTTATTGATCACTGCTGCCTTTTACAGCCTGTCTGCAGACAGATGGTAGCCCTTCAGCCAGAATTCCCAGCACCCCTGCTCATTCAAGGCATGGTTTAAAGCACATTTGTGGGAACCCTTTCATGGATTCATGAATTAGGCCTTTTTTGCCTGGTAGTTTGATGATACATGAAATACTTGGCACTTTTTCCATGTAATGAACCACATCTTACTAGTAATCTCTCACCAGCAGCTTGAAGGGTTTCCCCAAGGAGACGTAAAACCACTTATCACTCCAGATCACTGTTTAATTACGCTGGAGTACCTAACTACTATGTCTGATATCATCAGCTAATCATTGCAATTAAGAATACTAGCCATTGCTCCTATTCAGAGCCTTCTGGGGAGGGTGGGGGTGAGTTGTTAGAGGCAACCTGGCCAGCTGCAAGCATTTCATGTCAAGCATGCCAAGGAGAAGCTTATGGACCAAGAGCATGGTCTGAACTGAAGGACAGTCTGCTTTCACAACAGACTGGCCTTCGGAGAAAAACTGCTCTGAAAAACCTCAGGAACAGATCCCTACTCCTTCTTTACGCATGTGTTACACACAGGTTAGTGCCACACCGGCACCTCTACCACTTACTCCTGTTCCCAGGCTGAGATGAGCAGTCCCCTCTATTCTGTTAGTTCAGAATAACCAACTTGTCAAGAACTGGAAGATGCAGACATGCGCTGTGTTTCTTAAGTGGGAAATTTCATTCCATCCCACAGCAGCCCATAAGTAGTTATGGCAAAACACTGGCACCTGGGGCATCACAAGATACTATAAGGACAAGAGATGTGGGAAGAATATCACAGGCTGATGCTGCTGAATACTTGTCATGAGTTTATGGCTTCAGACTGTTCTGAATGGTTCATGACAGCACTGTATGTCAGAGGTAGAAGAAAAGGGGAGGAGAAAGAAAAATATAAAGACTAAAAAGTTATCAAAGTATCGCAGGAAGTTTCCAGAAGCAGCCTACTCAACAGTTACTTCTCAAAGTTAACACTCATTATCTATGAAATATTGGACTCCAAATACAGACATTTAAAACAGAATAATCACAATCAGATATCTAATTTTTCAAGAAAGCAATTTGGCCTTAACTTACTGAGTAACTGCCTTCTGCTGCTCAGTGTCCTCTAAATGCCAACTGTCTTTTGAATGTAAACTGTGGGTTTCTTCTCAAGCTCAGTTAGCATTAAGATGAGCTGGTACCACAGTCTGCCCCAATGTGGCTGTTCAACATTCAAGAGAAAAAGCATTTCTAACTTTAGCTTGGCATTGTTTTGGGTAAAAAGTGCCCATAAATGAGACACCAGTTACTTCCTGTGTTAGTATTTCTTTAACCTGTGTTCAATGGCACCTTTCTTCCTACCTCAGTTTTTCCCATTTATGCAGTCTGCATTTTTTATCAATAACAATTCAATAAAAATGATGTCTAAATCAGGACTAACTTTGGTGCAATGTTTGTTTTCAGATGGATAATTGGAGCTGCAGTGGTCAATGCATTCTATTCCCCCAACCGGAATCAGATCGGTAGGTTCATAGCAGCTTCAAACGGCTCTGTGGAACTGATTCATCAGTCTGTTATCCAGAGGCAAACCTGCCTGTGTCTGTGCAGGAATTCTGGGCAAGGTGGACAGGCTGTTCATTTCAGGCAATCACTTTGTTGATGAATATTCAGCTCCCTGCTGGGCAGACATAGTTTATAGACTGTAATTGGAACAGCTTTAGGTTTGAGAGCCTGAGACAATAACTGCTACTATATGAGTGCCAGCTTCAGAGACTAGAGAATGCTCACAGTGTATGCTGGGCTGACTGTACTCATGTTTCCATATTCCTGATAAACATATGGGCAGCTCTTCAGTTTGCCATCTGTACAGATGGTACTGAAGTTATATCAATAAGAGGCATACCAGGCTCAAGAAACCTGCCTCTGCTTGTAGAAGGTCAGAGCTGGGAGCTTTTGCAGAGCTGCTAGGCTGACCTTCCCTGTTCTTAGCAGAGGAGATCTACAGACTTAAGACACAGCAAATATGCCTGGCTGCCCATGCTCCCTGAGCTATGCACATGGCCAGAATACTCAGGTTAAGCCTGCAAATGCTGTAGAGTCTTGGGTGACTTCTAAACACCCCAAAAGGGAGAGGAACCAAGTAACTCCTAGAAAGTAGTGCTTATTCACATTCCCAGGCTGCAGGAAGAACTACTATCCAAGTACTGCCAAATACCATACAGAGAAAAATACATGCCTTTTTTAGGCCAGACACCAACAGCGTCCTGCTCATAGGGCAAAAGCCAGAAATGGAAAACAACCCAACCAACAGTCACAAGGGAAAACTTAGGTAATTGCTAAAAGCAGCAACATCCAAAGCTTTAGCACTCCAACCTCATCAGAAAGAGCCATTTTCCATTTGTGCGGCTTCCACTTACCTCCATACTGCAGGTACAGTAAAAGCTGTGACCAGTCCTCAACCTGTGAATGTGCATCACCCTGTAGGTAAGCTCAGGCTCTGTTTTATGGTAATGGTAATCAGCTGTGACCCAGCTTTGCAGGCAGGGAAGTTGGCTCTTAAAGAAGCCTGGTTCCTCTACAATTTTGCCTTTTAAGTAATATGGAAGTAACTGCTTTAAGCAACTTGAAGATGAATGTATAAGCCAAAAATTCAAGCACAGCTACCCACAATAGTGTAGATGTCAGTTAAGTCCTGTCTCAAGTTTCAGAGAGATAATTTTCCACACTGCTTTTGGTTTCCTGCCTCTGTCTTACTACTGTCTTACATATTTCTCCCTGAAATTGTATGGATTAAACTTTCTATATAGTCCAAAACGATTTTGTCTCTAAATGAAATAATTGCTATATAATTTCAGTATCTCACTTCTTACAAAGTATCTTACTAGAATTAACTGCTTTCAATCCTAAATCCTTTAGAAGCCTATGTGCTTTTCATCTTACATAGGTGGGATGAACACTAAATCCCACTGATTCTATATAAGGTTTTTGCCAGTAGACTGAAGAACAGACCTCCCACTGCTCCCACCCTAGACTGGCTTCCAAGAGCACTTGGTGGTCTGCAGGATTATCACCGAGTGTTGCTGGTAATCAGCATGTGATTGCCAGCCTTTCTTTAATGAAAATAAAGCAATAAAACATCCATTAGTTCCCCTATAAAATGGCTCTATAATACAAACTGTCCCTATCTCTAACAGACAGTTACTGAACATGCTGTTCTTGACTTACTGCAGCATACATTATGGCCCAAATTAGGCTAAAGTCGAAATGTAAATGATGCTTGGTTCTCAAACAAGGAGATACTGTAATTGCAGATGTGCTAAATTAAACCTTCATTAACTTGTCATTTTCCACTTATCAAGAGAGAAACAATTTCACATGAGGAGGCATGATGTTGTTCCTAATCACTTTATATTTTATGTTCCTTACTGATCTTTAAACCAAGCAATCTGTCTGCAAAGTACCCAGAACTAACAGTGCCTTACAGCATCTCCCTCTCTCCTCCCCTCTGTGCAGTTTTTCCTGCTGGGATTCTGCAGCCCCCCTTCTTCAGCAAACGCCAGCCACAAGCCCTGAACTTCGGTGGGATCGGGATGGTCATTGGCCATGAAATTACCCACGGGTTTGATGACAATGGTGAGAAGATAACTGGGAAAATAGTATTCCTTCGGCTGTCCTCATTACACTGTAAGAAACGGGTTACACAGTGCTGTGGTTGCACACAGGATCACACTCAAAAATCCTTTTGTCTTGGATTTTCATGTAGGCAGGAATTTTGATAAAGATGGGAATATGTTTGACTGGTGGAGCAATTTCTCAGCTATGCATTTCAAGGAGCAGTCTCGTTGCATGGTTTATCAGTACGGGAACTACACATGGGAGCTCGCAGGGGGTCAAAATGTAAGTGAAACCAAGAAATGCCACACCACTGGGTTTGATACCATAATGAATGTAAACTGGGGATACTGGTGTAGCCTAGAAACCAGAGTATCTGTGTGCAGCGGGTTAATGGTGAGCTGGGCCCATGTGTGCTTTTGCTGCCAGACCCTACAGGGGGATTTTGGCAAGGGGGAGGAAATCTGGTGTTTGCTACTGTATTTTGCCATCCTGCTAGTGTATGTTCTGCCCAGAAGCCCATTCCTGTTATGTTCCTATATTTTCTCTCTGTTCTAATCTACAGCTTTTACCCTATTAAGTTTTTATTTCCATTCTCTCGTTTCTTTGCCCTAGCCCAAAGTCCTTCCTTTTGTTCCAGACATGACTGTCTTTGATGTATGACTGTGCTCAGCTCGTGGTTCCAAGCATTGCTAATACTACTGAGTACAGACTAAATGAATGATTATTCTTTTACAGGTCAGTGGAATAAGCACATTAGGAGAAAATATAGCAGATAATGGAGGAGTCCGACAGGCTTATAAGGTAACCTCCAAATATACTGTGGGGTAACTTTACCCCTGGGATTCAGCAATAGCATTATTCTGTCAATAGAACATTGACAATGTTATTACCATATTCAAAACCTTAAAGCCTCAATTATGGATCTAGCAGCTTACATCCCAGTCACAGTGTAGGATTGCTGCATTCTTGCACCCAGGAGAAGACCACCTCATTCTCCTGGCTGTACTTTGAGCTACCACAGTGCTTGATGCTGCACACTTCTGTGTCAGCTAATCAAGAGTAACACTCACCAACAGGCACAGGATTAGCTTGGGAGAAGCTAAAACACCCTCACCTTTCTAAAGCCCTTGATTCTGAAAATGACAGCTACACCTTCAAAGAGCTTCTTACATGGCAACAGAGCACTGATCTCTTGGCAACACAGTCTGGTGATATGGGGAAGCAGAGCAACTGTTTTCCCCAAGTTTGTTTCTCTCAAATAAACTTGCAAAGCTGTGCAAACATGGCAGGGTGCTGTAGGATGACAGGAGCTGCCTGCACAGAATCCTCCAATGTAAATGTATTTTCACCCTCAGCTCTACCTTTGCTGTTTGTGTGCTTTGAGACTGTCAGCAGCGAAGAGGATCAGGTACTAGAACATTTGAAATCAGCCAGCGTGAGGACACATTAATTTGTCTCCATTATGTCAATAGACCTAAAAAAAGAAAATTGGCCAATTAATGTGTAACAATACCGGTAATGGATTTAACATTGAGCAAGGTTATTATCTGCTATTTTATGAGCAGCTACCTGAAGAGAGAAAAATCATCACCATAGAGCTTAACGCTTTATTTCCAGACACAAATTCCTGTAGAATAAGTCAGTGGAAGGTGATGATTTTACTTCAAGCTGCAGTCATGGGTGTTCAGGCTCCTCAGCATGAATGACCATGCATGTATCACCAGTGGCATGCCTCTCTCTAAAGCAGCAAGTGCTACCTTCCTGAAGAAATGCAGGGTACATCTCCAGGTGGCTCTGTAAAGAACACACAGAGCTCCTCATGGTGAAGGTCATCTGGTCAACTGCTCCTCTAAAACAACACTTCCATGCAAGAGTCTGCTATTTTTTCCCATTTCATAACAGCTCAGTTCAGAGATTACTGTACTTGAGAAGCTGAATGTGAATTCTCTCTGTGTTACATGGGTTTTGCCAGAACAGTCAACAGAGTACTTCTGTGACAGCTTTGTCATAAAATTCGCTGCACTATTTGTATTAGAAAGATAAAAACTATGAAAACACAGAAGAGCAGATGTGTTGGGTTCATATACATTGTGACTGAAATCTCTCACCCCCAAATAACATTCAGAATACCCACCATGCCTGAATAGGCCACTCTGCTGTCTGAATTGCATCTGTAATCATTTCTAGGCCTACTTAAAATGGCTGGAACGGGAAGGGAAGGAGCCAAAGTTGCCAGGACTGAATCTGTCCCACAAACAGCTCTTCTTCCTCAACTTTGCCCAGGTAAGAACACTTGGGTGCAGCCACTACATGCCTCATGAAAGTATGAGTTAGGTTATCTTAGAGGTTAGAGAGAAGATCAGTCCCAAGCTCCACTTGGACAATGGCTCATTTTTGCACTCATCAAAAGGTCCTCAAGGGAGACATGAAAAAGATGGCCTGGATGAGAAACTCTTAGAGTAACAGATGTGATACAGTAGGTTAAATATTTGATAGTGGGCCAACACACTTGGTGGTGTGCTTCAGACTCTGAACCTCCAGCTCATCTGGGGAAACATAAGTGAAATCAAGGGCTAATATGTCTACCCTAAAGCATCAGATCTTAATCCAAGAACTTGATAAAACAAAAAGTAATTAGTTAATCATTATTCTGCTTTCTCAGTACAACATATTCCAACTATACTGTAAGAAATTTAGGAAAAACTTGGAAAACCAGTAAGCAGGTCCCCAAGCTGAATTCTCTTTAATACTGACCCACTAATGATTAATCCTCCTTGTCTAGGTTTGGTGTGGTTCCTACAGACCAGAATATGCTAGCCAGTCCATAAAGACAGATGTTCACAGCCCTCTGAAATACAGGTGCGTTTTACTAACTGATTTACTAACCGATAACTTACTTGGTTCAACCCATTGTGCCAGTATGGCACAGGAGAGAGAGGCTCACTGCTATGAGCTATACTCTAACAAATCAATCTGGACTAACTTTAAGAGCTTCTCCCACAGCTTGTAGGACAGTGCTGGAGAGCACATTCCTTTGCTTGGCCTGGTGAAGTTGCCAGTCTGTAGAGAATGGACCAGAATGCTCTGTTCCAGCATTTCGTTATTCCTATCAGCTGTACTTTTATTGCATAAATTATCCTGTCTTCTGAGACTTGGATTCCAACATGGTTTTCTGTTTTCAAAGCAACAATCTCCATGCCCTGTATCCATGCAAATAAGTTCCTTCTCTTTGTGTAGGGTGATGGGGTCTTTGCAGAACTTTGAAGCATTCTCCGAGGTGTTCCACTGTAAGAAAGGCACAGCCATGCATCCTGCAGAGAAATGCAGGGTCTGGTAACCAAAACCACTGGTGAGAATGACACGTACTCTGTGACACAAACAAGCGATGTGCCTGATGTTCTCCCCTTCAGTCACAGCCAAGGCTCATGGTGCAGCTACTGTAGTGAGAATCCAGGAAACTACAGCCCTCAAGCTCTTACAGTCCCACTGGGAAGCACACAGGTATCCCAATGACTGATGGGCTGTGCTGGAAGCCACGGCATGCTCCAGAACAGGAATGACTGTTTCAATGACATCCTGACTGTTATTAAGATACTGCATCAGGGTTACAAAGACTACTTCTCAGATAAAAGCAAAACCAACAACCAACTGTACATCTATTTTTCAGAAAGGAACAATAATTCTAGTCTCTCTTAAAACCACCCCTTCTGAGACACAGCAAACCAGCTTGAAATGCTTCGCTGAACTATTTCCCAGTGTTCTGAGCCAGTTTCTGCTGCATTCTTCCTAAATCCAGGTTAGAACTAGCTTGAACTCCCGTGCTGTCTGTATACTTGATCCCTGCTTTGCTGTAAGAGACTGCTATTTGTCTTACTGTGTACAAAGTGAGCTCTATGTTAAGATGCCTGTCAGCTGCTATCGTAATGCAAAGCTGCACTCTCCTGCTGCACTCAAGTTCCTCTGCTCCAAAGAACAACTGAGACAGGACCTTAAAGTGAAGTAAAGAGATCACATTTTTAGGAGTACAAATTCTGGTGTCATGGTTAAAAGAACACGGTCCCTCCCTTCAGAGATGTATTTAAAATGATGCTTCTTCTTGTAGAAAGTGTATAAAATACTCTTTGCCAAACAGCAAACATGTATCCATGGAAACAATGAAGCTGATTTTAATCCTGTGCCTTTTCATTTTGCCATAGGCTATTTTTCAGTATTTACACTTGAAAATGTAACAAGTATGGGTTTTTAATAAAAGAAATAAAACCACAGTGGCCAATGCAGCAGTTTACTCTAGAGCAAGGGTTTGGGTGGCTCTCCTCAGTAAGCATGCTAATATAGTGACAGTATTTTAAACTGCCAACACTTTGTGCTCAATTTTAAATACTTTTCCAGCAATCGCTTTTCTTTCCAGCACAGAAATCATTGGAAAGCAAGAACAGAACTTAGCACATTGTCCAGAGAAGCCAGTGGCAGTGACAGGCACAGCTTTACAAGCATCATATAACCGTATGTCTCAGTCAGAGACTCTGGCGAACAGTCCTACTAGAACAGAACACCTTCATCAGTAACTAAGCAGATAAATACATGGAACCAGACCGCACTTAGCAAATGCTGCAGAAAATACTTCAGCCTAGTAGAAAATTCTCTACCCAGAGTTGTTTTGCTGCAGATCTGGTTCCATTTTAGACTTGTACACAATTAAGTGTCAGAGAAGCTTTATTACATACTTGGGAAAAGAAGAAAGATTCAGACGTTTCCCAGGATGAGGGGAAAATGAAGTCTTTTCTTCTCCCATGCTTCCACCTGGTGGCAAATGGAGCTACAACGTCTAACTCAGACCAAAAGACGCGTAAACATCACAGCTGGCTCAGGCACACCGCCCGCAGACTCTGATTTGGTGCTCGAGGAGCCCTAATTCAGGTAGGTGCAACGGCAGCAAAAGGCCCTACCCAGGTTTGTGTGTCCCCACCAGCGTAGCACTCACCCCTCCACCTCTGCAGGAGCTCTACCACCGCTGCTCCGTGCTGCTCAGGGAGAGCTGCAGCTCTGTGGGACACTTTATTCACATCTCTGAGCTCTCAAGAGAAGAAATTGTGGGAAGGCATTAAGGGATACAAAGCAGTGCAGTGATTGAGTCTGCTTCCTCTGAGTCTGAGGTGCAAAAAGGTGTGAAAGGAGGACTCGGATTCCAGCCACTACCTGCAGGGAAACCAGATGGCTGGTTCGAGGCCTCACTGCTTGGGTGAGAAGGTTTTGTATGGATAGGAGAGGCAGTGACTAAGGAAATGCTCAGTATGATTCAGCTGAGAGAATCTATGTGACAGTAGCACTTGCTTTACTCTTGGGGTACGCACGTGATGGGAGACATGAGAGTATATAGATGAGAATACAAACTCCTTCTGCTGTACAAAAAGACCCAGCCCTTTAGAAGACTGACATGTCAGACTGTCTCAGGGGTGCAGGTGGCTGCATATGCCTCAGAGAGAGAGAACCCAGACAGCAGTTGCACACAAATGCATTTTATTGCTCTCTACAAACACAGAGACGCATACACAGTATGCAGGTAGCCATAGGGCTGTCCCACTTGTGGGAGAAACACTATCCACCATGAATTAAACCACTCAATACAGACAAAAATCATTATTATAATGAAAATGCTAGAAAAAGCATAGCTTACACACAAAATGTATAACATTGACAAATCAAGCCTTTTACCCACTACCTTTTCTTTAACGTAAAGCAGTAACGTCCTCTTCTAAATTGAAAAAAGCAGCAAAGTAGTAGAAATATTCCACATAGTTTCCTAGTTTCTGTCCTTTATATACTAGGATTACGAAAGGGCCGTGGGGGAAAAATCCAAAACCAAACCAAACCAATCTCTGATTCTGTACAAGTTATAAGCAAACAGAGGGAAACTGATTTTAATCAAGTGTGCATGAACAAAAGGGCAGTAAATTTATCCTCCGGGGTGACTGAGCAAACAACTGTTGCTGGTCAAGCCAGAGCAGAGCTGATGCCTCTTACAAGCAATATGAGAGAAATCTCTCCTACAGCAATTCGTGTCCATCACAACTGTAACACTTACAAAACACACCCCTTCATTTTGAAGGCATTCACCCCTGGCTGGCAGCACTCTGTGTACTGTTACCAGCAGTGTCTACACAGCTCCAGGACCATGCAACAGAATGCCTGAACTTTTGCCAAAGGATCCCAAAGTCAAAAGTGTGCCATTCTGTGTACTGATAAATAAAATACATGGGGAAATAACATTCCCCACAGAAGAGAGGATCAGAGCTGGACTATCAGATGCAGTCAGATCCTTCGTCTGGACTGTAAAAGGCAAAGGTCCACGAAATAAGGACTCCTGGACTACCAGGGCCTCCAGAGGGTGCTGGCATCTTTCGGAGACGCTGGCTTCAGGATGCTAGGGTTCCCGGGGGAAAAGGCGACCTCCGTGGCAGCCGACTGGCTCTTCTGGAAGTGGCTTAAAAGTTTGGTCTGTGTTTCAGTTCGGACTTTGTGAAGAGAGAGGAAATGGAAAGCCTCTTGCAAACACCTGGAATAGCCCTCTCTGAAGTCAAACTGAGAGCTCTTATGGAAGGGTCCTGCAGCTAAAGAAGGGAAGAAAAGAGGAGGGGAAGAAAGAATAGATTAGAGCAGTTATTCGTGGCTAGAGGTTCATAAAACTGTCACAGGTCTGCAGTAAGCTGGAGACTGAAACAAAATTCAATACTCACCCTTCACCTGCAGCTGGCTCTGCTGCTTGAGGTAGCTGACAGCCATCTCCAGGATGTCGGCTTTCTCCAGCTTGGAGTTGGGCTGGTGTCTCTGGAACTCCTTCTCCAGCAGCAGTTTCAGCTGCTCAATGCTGCTGTTAATCCGGTCACGACGCATTTTCTCCACCACGGGCTTCCTCAGCTGTAAAAAGCAAAGAGACCTGTTATTAGAAGGATCCTCTCCCTGCCTTTCACAGCATCTTTGCTGCCCATCACTGCTCCTAAACAATGTGGACTGGTTTCTCAGGTGGTTTAAACCGCTCTGAGAACAGCTGAGAGCACGGCTAAAGCCTTGCTGTGCCAGGACTTACTTTGTTTTTCTCCTTTGGTGTCAGCAGGTTGTCGGGCTCCATGAAAACAGTGCTGGGAGCCATCTGTCCTGGGAAAGGAGGGACAGTCTGGAAGTGGAAGTCCAGGAGAAGCGTGTGGCTGGAGGCTGGCTCTGCCTGGTATTTATACTGTACAACCTCTCCAAGAGTCTGTGGGTCTCTGGCTTGGTGGTGTTTCCCACACTCCACAGCCAATCCGGGAGAAGGGCAGCACAATAGGAGAAGCATCTATTCTTGCATGCTCCATTGCCACTGAATAGCCTGGGGATAATGACCTTCTCCCAGATGAGCAGGTGGGGAGTGTGTGGTACGTGAAAGGCTGGGATCAGAATTACGTGTCAGAAGCTGGGAAAGAGCTGGCCTTCAATGGGAAAAGGCTGCTGACTAATGCCGCGGATCAATAGCATTCCCGGCGCAGCCTGCGGCTCACACGGTGCAGGAAGGAGCAGGTCAGCTGCCGGTGGCGGGAAGGGACGCTCACAGGACAGGCACACGCTGGAGCAGGCACCCAAGCACACGCACACACCAGCACGTTCTGCCTGCCCGGGGAAAGAGCAGGATCTCTGGAATCCCACCCGCCCAAGGCCAACTGCTCTCCCCCAGGGACTGTGTTAGCAGTCCGGCCCATGTGAAACAGAAAACAGGTCACTATTTCAATTTAGGCCATGCACAAAGGAAAACTGAGCACAAAAGGAATCTGTATGGCCCATAAACTTGTTAGAAATCAAAATTCCTGATTCCTCGCTACTCTCCACTGGGCCAATTTCTATGCTGAGATGCACAGTCCTTGTTAAGTAGGTTCCTGCAACAGGAAGAGTTAACGCTCTTGCTATTTGCATCCTGTAAACACACAGTGGAAATGTATGATGGAAAACATGAACCAGATCTGCCTGCATTTTACCTGCCTTCTGCCCATGCAAGCACTGCCTTCTTTTGTGAGCTCTAAAAGGAGGACACGGCAGCAGTGTTTTCTGCATCCTCTGGACATGCACCCTGGACTGTGTGGAGCAAGGCTGGCAGGGATGTTGCCCTGTTACACCACAAACAGGGTGCAATGGGCAGGCAGCAGCACTAACCCCATGTCTAGAACCACGCATTCTGGTCCCAGATTTACTCCAAACGGGCTACATGACCTAAGCAGTTTAACGCTTTTGTCTGTGAGCATTGATATCTCCCTCTCTAATTCAGTACAGGAGTAATAATAATAATAGTAATAATAGTAGTAATAAATTAGTGTCAAGTAATGTTAGGGCTTGTGTTTGGGGATCTCTTACTGTAGTAATTACTGTTTGTATTTACATTAATATATGTGCATTTATGTATATAGTAACACAGGCGTGTGTGGTCACACGTCTTTCAGTGTGAATACGTATACCCACAGACACATTTCTCTCTCCCTCTGCAACTCATTATTCGTAAGACCAGGTAAGGTTTAAATGACCTCTTCCAGGATCTGCTTTTCCATCCCTATTGTACTGCTCTTGAATAGGCTCCTTCTTTTCGTACAGAGCAGCAGCTGTTGAGCTCGGAGTCTTTTATGTCAACTTGTGGGAAAGCTTTTGTGACACCATTTCACATGTTCTCCTCAAAGCCTGTGCATTATCTTTGAGCCCATGTAATGCCACCTCTGAAACCAGTCTTTCGCTCTGTGTATCCCTCTTGGGAAGATTCTCTGAAACAGAAACTCCTGAGTAGTAACTCATTTCTTGAGCTCGTTAATCAAGCGCATGAAGAAGAAATATGCCAGTCCCGTGATCAGCAGGGCCCACTGGCACTTTTACGAGAGAGTTTCTGGTTCCCAGATTAACTCACTAATAATCAGCTACAAGAACAGCAATGATTTCCCCTTCCAGTACAAGTCACATCAACAGGCACTCCTGGTTTAGTCCAACAGAGCTACTTAAAGTCTCAGATACCTTCCCTGCAATTATCCACAGCACACAACAAGAAGTCTAATTCTCAGGAATCTGAGCATTATTGCATTCCTGTATCATAGAACTTTTATCTGGGGGGAGGACTAACTTTCCATGATAAAGCTGTAGTAGAGCTGATGCATGATTTGAGTGACTTGGTCTGCCTTTGGCTTTCTTCTGTCACAGCTGTGGGCTCTGGCTGGCTCTGGGGTTTGCCCAGTGGTCCTACAGATGTGTAGGAGGGCGGTAAGAGCCCAGGGTAGCAGCTGCTGCAGCCCCTCAGTCGCTGCAGAGCAGGCTGAGCCCATTGCCTCCTACACATCTGCCACCGTTCATTCTGCCTGGGAGCTCTGCACCAGGATTTTACACACAAACCTCTTATATCTCTACTCAGCACCCAGGGGATTCCTGAGTTAACTCCACTGGAATAGTCATGCTAGCCTGAAATACACACAGTTAAAATAGCTTTTTATTTTCTCTTTGGTTTCATAGTCTGTGAGGGGAAAAATGAGCCAATTACTGACTATCTTTGAAGAGTTACTCAGATTAGATGCTCAATTACCCAAAATAGATGTTCTGCTTCTCCTTTGGTTGGAAATCCTAAAGGAAACTGTTAACAAATTCTTCCCCATTATAAAGTTAGCAGAGTCAGTGGACTTTATGCTAAGGATAATGAATTCTGAATTATACACCTTCTACTATAGTTCCAAATATATACAATATTGCACAGAAAACTTAATAGGATCCCAAGATACTGGATTCTGGATGACATATCTGACCTATGGCATCAGCAAATAGCCTTCTGCCAGAATCTCTGCAGGATGTTAGCTCTTTAGGAAGACTTAAAGATGCTGCTGCTTTCCCAAGTCTTGAGAGATGCTCATTCCTCCTGTTGCTTCTCTCCCGATATGTGCTGCCCAGATGGCCTTTTGGGAGCAGGGTTTCCCACTGAACACAATGCAGAGGCAAGCACCGTTGCTAATGTGGTTTGTAGTCAGGCACACTTCCTTTGTGACAGGAATGACTATAATTAAGAAATGGTGTGGGAAACTCAGAAGTACACAAACTTCCATAGCCTTATGTTAGTAAGTCATGCAGAAAGCTAAAAAGCTTTGGAGCAGGAACAGAGCAAAGCTTTGGAATAAAGAGTGGGAAAGACAGCAAGAGGAGACTCAATTAGTGTTGAGTCCTAGTGACCATCCTGAGGTGACAAACAGAATGGGTCCAACCCTACAGGCCTTACTTGGGTCCTCACTGAAACCAGCAGGAACTTAGGACTCCATGACAAGTGGAGCAGGCTGCTGGATTTGGCCTGCAGCTTTTGTACCTCCAGAGCTACCTCCTGACCTCCTGTAAACTGGTGTAAACACAAATTCCCTCTATGCCTCCGGTGGAGTTCATCAAAATCCTAACCAGCAAAAGCTGAGCCTGGATTTTCACCTGCCAAATACCAATACCGGAATCTGGGCTAGTGTTTCCTATTTCTTTCATCCAAGCAACAGAGAACAGTTTAGAAGTATTAATGAAGAGAAAGGCTTTTCCAGAGCATTCCTGGTATAAAATCTGATCTAATTTTCTTAAAGCCAAGCCCAGCTCATATAGAGTTAAGGAATAAATGCCCTCCTGTACCATTACAGGTGATGTGCCACAATGGTAGCCATCATATTTGGGCAGGTCAGCCTTAGATATAAAGAACAGCAAGAGAGAGGTACTGAGCAACATGGGGTATGGGTGCTCTGACACCTGGGAGCAAAGTCTCTTGGTGTCTGTCAGTGCCTCACCTCATGGAGAGTTCTACCAAGAACCCAGCTATTCTGCTGGGCAAAGCTGAGCTGAGGCAATGCCTCACCTGCAGCAGAGCATCTGAAGCTGGAAGGAGGAAATCATCCTGTATTTAATCCCCATACAGCAAACAGCAATTCAGATTAACACACCCAGGCAATTAAGGATTGGAGAAGCTTCAGTTTGACTGTTTGCAACAGTTTGAATAAGCACACATCAGTTTGACTAATATCCGGGGTCTGTGTTTCCCAGGACAGACTAAACAAACCTGGGGAATTAAAGAAGCAAACAGAGCATGTGGCTCAGAAGTGTTCATGTGGGCTGAAGCCACCTCTGCCACCTTCACTGGGACAATTTTCTCTGGCCTTACTGGTGGATGAGTAGGATTCTGCTGCTGCAGTTCCATTCCCTGTCATTTCCTCCTAGCTCTTTCCTTGCTCTGCTGCTTGTTTGAGCCTGGTGCAATTGCTGTTTGCCTGCAGAGCTTCCTTCACTTCTTCCTTTTTATTTGGGGTCCATCTTCCCTTCATGCAGTTTTTAGAATCTGATTTTTCGTTCTGCCACTCTTTTCCCTCTGTCTGTCACAGGCAGATGTGGCTGGAGGACAGCAGTGTCCCACAGCCCCACAAACTCTGTGAGTTTGGAGTTCCTTCCAGTTTCCCACACTGCTCTCCTATTCACTGCATTCAGGCAGAGGATAAAGGAAGTGTGCCATGCTACAAGCTGAATTAGAAATGGTGTTTGACTTCCCTTTGTACTTCACAGAAACCTTGCTCTGGGCAGACCATCTGCATAGCACTCACTGTGGGGAAAACCATTGATCAAGGCCTGTCAGCCCAGCTGGGGGAACTTGGGAAAGTAATTCCTTGTGCCACTTCAGTTCTTTAGGGCTTAACATCTGGCTGGAGGGGGAGGCGACAGTTGATGGTTTAACAGTCTTGCTTCCTTTCAAGTTTGGGATGCTGTTTTGATCCCCTGATAAGCCTTTCTGAAATCCTGATTTTAATAACATGGAAAGCATCCAGAAGACTAAGAATAATGCACTGGCTTTGCATTTTCAAAGTGCTTTACAAATACCAGCTAATGAATTCTCAGCAACCTCCTCTGTGAGATAACAATGTATTATTAGCAATGTTCTACAAAGGAAGAAAAATGAGGCAGACAGGGGAAAACCCAAATTTCAGTATTTCCAATAGCCTACTGGGTGCAGTGTTCCCATTGCAAGTGGCTGTTTGAGACATCTGGTTTACAATGACGCTCAGCACCCACTTTTCTTTTAAACAGCTTTGGCATCTCTGAAAGGAGCCAACTCCCCAGCTTGTGGCAGAATGTGGCTTACCAGCCTGGACCACACTCGCAGCCAGGCACCACCTAGATAAGCAGATGCCAAAGTTCTTTGTACGTAAGTTCAGCAGTGGGTTTTGAAAATGCTATTTAGTACAATTTAAGCCCATGAAATGGCTGAAAAAGAAGATGCACTCAAATCCTTGGTCAGGAAATACATAATGATCTACTCAACAGAAAATAACTTGATCTCTGCAGAAAGTAAACTGAGTTTTAACTTGTTTGTTCATGTTTCTACCCAAACCTCAGGCTTAGCAGCTGTCCTTAGTCCTTGTGCACATCTGTCTGTCAGCATCATCGAATTCTGATCAGCTGCCTCCCAGTGGTTATGGTTATTCTGGGATTGGAGCTCTGAAGAGGGGAGGATGCAGTGTGCCCTGAATTACATGAACTCTGAGTTTATGAGGGAATTTCAGGCCCAAGACTCTTGGCTTGAATAAAACCAGTGACTCAGAAATGAGGAAGGAGCCATACTGGTTGAAGGTAGGGAACAATCAGATGAGGCTCAGGGGACGCCAGGCAAGTCTGTCACTATTATCTCCCCTGTCCACCACTGCCCTAGCTAGAGCTGAGAAATTCAATATCTGACACACGCAGATAGGATCAATCGCTGCTCCTGTAAGGGAAGAGGTGACAGCGCTCCTATCTGGCACAAACACCCCATTCCCATCTTGTCAATGACAGCGAGTGACTCTTGGGGCCAGACCTTGGGAACCACACTCCCAATTCTCAACCTGCTATTCTCTCTGCGGGATGCCTTCTCCTTGCCAAAATGCTTGGCAGCACTAGCTGGTAAGTCTTGTGATCTTTATCATGAAACACACAATACTTATGGCCTTCATTAAGACTTCACATCCAAGCCTCATGGTTCTATAAAGAAAATTAAAGGTATCAACCTGAACAAAGTCCAAATGCTCAATAATCAAAAAGTTAAAAAAGCATCATTATAGAGCATGGGGTAGCTGAGTCCCCTGCTAAAAGCAGGAGAGAATATATTCTGTGGTTGGTTTATATAGGTTTTTGAAGGAGGAGGGTGGTAAACACGTAACATGGTGGCTCCTGCAAAGCCTGCTCCCAGGGCAATGTGTTCCTTTGAGACATAATTGATTCCTACCATCAGGCACCAGCCTGCTCTCCCCGAGGGTCAGCGCTTTCCCACATCCAACCCCATTATCCCACAGACCATGCCTTTTGTACAACACACTCCAGCTATTCATGTGCAAAGCAGCTGTAATCCCCAGACCTTTCAGAGTCAATATACCAGGAAATAATAAATCCCTCTTGTGCACTGCTGAATATGCTGAGAGGTGACTTGTGGGAATTTCAGCTGGGCAGAAAAATAATAAATTCTCCTTAATTTTTAATTATTTGTAATACTCACTGTAGGAAGACTGTGTCAGTGGTGCATGACTATTCCTGGGTCACCCACATAAGCAGCTATAGAAACTGCTTTGGCCTCTACCAAATGCAGATCAAATTGTCTCATATGTTTCTTAATGATCAAAGTCCACTTGCCTTCACTTGGGCACCTGGGAATGGGAGTACATGGAGCATTCGGGATCTAAAGAAAACTAATTAAAAAAGGTTCAACCTGTGAAGAATGTACTTTACAGTAATAAAAGACCCCTTTCTGCCAGGGTTCTAGTGTCCAAAGGAGGCAAGACAATGCCACGCTAATGACATTTAATGGAATATTATATCCAAAACTCTAACAACAACATAACCCTTTCCCCTGAAAAAGGGAGATTGCACTGCACTTCCACTCCATTACTTCACTTGCCTTGTGCGAGCGGGAGAAGCTAATCTTGAATAGCAGATTTTGCAGGATAATTTCTTTATGTATTTCCTCCCATGCTAAGCAATTTTCTGAAGTACGTATTGTGTAGAATGCAGTAGCACTGAAACACCTGAGCAGAACATGGTGCACGTGTGGGCTGGGAGAAGGGGCTGTCATCTGGGACACCAAAGGAAGCAGTTGCTTGTAAACTGAAACCGCCAGAGGCTCTTTGGGGTTCACCTCAGGCAGCACCCTGCCTTTTCAAACCTTACCCAGAAACCTCCACAGAGCAAGTCATAAGAGTATGAGGATGAAGGGATGTGGTAATACTGCTGGGATTTGTGGTGCTATATTTCAGGAATCTAAAACACTAGGACATGCCCACCCAGCAGCAGTATGGTGTGTGGAACAAGATGCAGAGCCAACAGCTTCACCAAGCAGTCAAAGATAGTTATTTCCACACAGATGTGTCAGCACTTAGGACCTGATGGGTGTTCTCATTGCTACTATCTTCCTCAGGGATGCTGCCACTAGCCTGTGGCACCTGTGAAAGTGAGACCAGAGCTAGCTTGGTCCTAAAAAGCCTTCTATTTTACCTGTGTAAGTAACCCTTTAGAAATGCTAGAGCTGGGAATCCATGGGCTGGCCTGAGGAAGAGACAAAAGCCAACTGGAGATCAGACTGCACGCAGGACAAACCTGCTGGTCCTGCTCTCCAAGCAGCTGTGATGATAAGGGGTGTCCAAGCGAAAAAGCATCACTGCCAGACTCCCAGCAGATGGAGGGAAAAGAAAATCTTTTGCAGGATAGCAAGAGGAGACCACCCTCTGAGTTTATAAGGCAGCCCAGTGCTGTCCCTTCTCCACTTTGCTCTCATGGGTGCTGAGCAGTATCCCCACGAGGACCACTTCAGCCCTGTCCCTACACCCACCACAGACACAGGCTCAGCTCCTGATTCCAAAAGGTCTCTGAAAGAGTTTATCAGCACTGCTCCCATTTCCCAACAGAGCAAACTGAGGCAAGATGAAGCAAATAGCAGCCCCCAGGCCAGCCAGTGCTGCTGCTGAGCTGGGTATTCTTGCCAGGCACCCCCTTGCTGCACCTCTGAGAAGCCCCTTCCTGCACAGTGAAACTGCACAGCCTCACTTGCTGCAAGAGCCATGTGAGTTCATCGTGCCTTGACAGAAGCACAGGCTCCACAAAAGAGTTATTAGCACCAGGCTCTGTGGGTTTGAATTTCCCTGCCTTTCCCATACTTTTCCCCTATTGATAACATTTCTTGCTGGGACAATAGAAGTGTGCCTTGCAACTACTCATGACATTAGTGACGGTGCTTGAGCCTGAATAATTTAAAGGGAAAAAAATCCAACTCCCAAAAGACCATCTGGCTATCAGTTATAATACAGCAATAAAGGTCAGGGCTGCTTCTCAGGAGTTGGGAAAAAGATGGATTTTGACACTGAAGAGTCTCTTCAACCGCCTTGTTACATGCCTACCTGTCAGCTCCTAGCTTCTGCCACCATTGCTCCCTTGCAAGGAAAGGGATAATGCAGAATGCCAACTTCTGGAAGGAAAGCCAGCCAAAGAATAGAGGAGGAAGGGCTACACCTTATTATAGCTGGCAAAAGCTAGGGCATGGTCTCTGAGCTGTATCTTATTTTGTATCATAATCCTTTGACTGCTTCAAAGTGTTCATGAGATGTCTTGTCTCCTGGCTTTCCCACAACGCAGGGAATAAAAGGGCTCCAAGGACAACATCTGCCCTCCACAAAGAGCTTAGCCCATTCAGGCCCATACAATGAAAACCATGATGCTGCCTGGTTCAGCGACACCTCCCTCCTTCCTGTCAACTGCCCATTAAACTCAGGCTTCACTTCAGGATTTCCAAGTAAGAAATTGGCTTTGGCTTTCTTACCTCACTGCACACTTCCCTTCACCATTTCCATTCCAAGATTCCCAGCCACGCTCCCGTGCACAAGCAGTGCACTGGGAAAAGATAAGCACACGTGTGCCTCGGGCACAACAGGCTAGACCCTCAGATGGCAGGATGCAGCACAGCTCTTCTCAGGTAGGGTCTGGGCTATTTTTGGTGCTGCCTCAAGGGCTGTATACAGGCAGGATTTGTCTCATAGGACAAAATAAGAACTTACTTAAAATGTCCACCTAAAATGTCATTCTTTTTCTTGCCTTTACCACAAAAGAAATAATGTTTGCTTAATTGTCATTGAAATTTTAATGTAAATGCAAGCACGCAGCGCTATCCCCATTTTGCAGATAAGTTTACACAGGGAGGCAGCTATGGTCTCTGAGATCTCATGATTGCTGTCTGAGATCTCAAACTGTGGCAGGTCCTGTCTGCAGTGGGACAGTGTCTGCAGTGTGATGCTCCCTGGTCAGATGGGAACAGAGCACACCATAAATCTCAGGCACTAAATCCCATTCATGACACACCTCTGACTTCCAAAGACCTAAGGCTTCTGGGTTGAATCTGATGCTATTCTTTAGCTCATCTTAACCACCGTTCTTGTAAATGTCTGTATGAAAGAGAGTAGAAAAGGGGAAAAAAAGAGCTACAGGGGTGACAAGGCATGGGCCCAGTTCTGCTAGGAGATGTGTGCTTTCCTTAGTGAAGGCAATGGAAACACTGGTGCAACAGGCCCACAGACCCTGCTGTGTTAAGGGGAAGAGAGAAACAGAGGTTATCATTTCCATTTCCTTCCTATTCCTTATTTACTCACCCTGTCTATCCAACATCTCGCCATCTTGACTGTCAGTTCTCCACAGCATTTATAAGTGTTACGAAACAAGCCTATCATTTCACACTGGTAACACTTTGGCTCACCTATTAGAAGTGTAATACCTGTACGGGCCAACACAAATAGACCCACATTCCGGCAAAGGGCACCTGGGACCCTGGCTGTGAGGTGTCCTCTCCAGAAAGAGCAGAGATGTCCTTGGAGCTGTTGATACTAACCCTAACAGTGCTCCCTTCTTCTTTTCCCGCCTTTCCCCAAAAGCGTGCCTCCTCCACGCTGCAAATGTGACTGGCACATGCAGGGACTCAGGAATGCCATTGATCCCAGACAACCAGCTGGAGGGTCAGTGTTTTCCCAGATCCGGGGGCAGCCCTGAAGAGCCACGCTGCACACTCCACCAGTCAGCGTGGGCAGAAGGTTATTCTCTCCAGGGCATTTGCAATCAATGTACCATGCACTAATAGATGCTTCCTCTATTGTTCAACTGTGTGCCTGGATTGGCTGCATGGCTGTGGGAAACACCAGTGATCCCGAGACTCACATATCTGCTGAAGCTCCCCGATGTATAAATAGAGGCAGTTGATAGCTGCCAAAGCATAGCCTGAACACTCAGCACAGCAGCCTGACTAGGGGGTCTGTGCCCAGGACTCAAGAGCACTAAGAATGGCTCCCATTGTCATGGTCCACATGGAGGAGAAGCTGCTGCCAAAAGAAAAGAATAAAGTAAGTAGAGCCCCTGACAGGATTGGAAAGGCTGCCCTGTGCTCTATGCAATGAGCTGCCTCTCTCAAGTAAATACTACATAGGAAAATGTGAGATAAAGAGGGAAAAAGTGGTCTGGCGGAAGGCGAACAGGTTAAAGAGAGAGGAGAATACACAGATTTTTGTAAATGAAATTGAGTGGGGAACAGGCAGGCAGCAAGAAAAGCTCTCCTACCAAAAGTGTCTTTGAACACAAGGGAGGAGAAATAGGTCAGATCTCAGAAAATCCCTAACTCTCTGCTCCATCTCTGTCACAGCTGAGGAAGCCGGTGGTGGAGAAAATGCGTCGTGACCGGATTAACAGCAGCATCGAGCAGCTGAAACTGCTGCTGGAGAAGGAGTTCCAGAGACACCAGCCCAACTCCAAGCTGGAGAAAGCTGACATCCTGGAAGTGGCTGTCAGCTACCTGAAGCAGCAGAGCCAGCTGCAGGACCGTGGTGAGTGCAGAGCACATCTTGCACACCCCTCCTGTATAGCCCTGGCCCCTGAAAGCAAGCAGGGGCTGTGGTAAAAAATCACCACTGTCCCATGTTTTGGTAGTAATCTTAACCCTTTGCATTTGCTTCTTTCTCTCTTTTCTAGAATTCATGCACAAGAACGTAGAGCAGGACTTCAGCAGTGGATACCTGCGGTGCCTCAAGGAAGCTATGCATTTTCTGTCCTACTATGAACCCAAGAAGGAAACTCAGGTGCAGCTGATCAAGCACTTCTGCAAAGCTCAGATGAGTGCAGATGTCATGTACTCTCCTGCTCCGTGCAGTTCACCTCTGTCACCCTGCCTGTTTGCCAGAAAGCAGCCTGCACAGAAGACTGTGGCTGCTGCTCCTACCATCTGGAGACCCTGGCAGACTTGCTGAACTTTGCTTTATTCCTATGTTTTGCTACAAAAACTAGAGGGACCTGTGATTGAATAGTTCCTCTTTAAAGTAGGAAACATTGCTTTCCAAAGGCAGGAGGGGGGCAGTTATTGTTTTTCTGTCACAAGAAATGAGGGTCGCTAGGTAGTTTCCCTTCATAGTGAAGGACTGTGTGTGTATCTTGCAGCAAATTTGCTGCTTTTATTGGCGGGTCTTAGCCAAAGAGAGAACCACGTTCTGAGGTGATTTAGAGAGCCAAAGCTCTTCAGTTTCCATCACACTTTTGCTTGACAAGGCTGTCAGTGCAAATCTTTCTGCTAATTCCCTGGGTCACTGGTTCAAGTGCTCCATTGTCTCCAGATGATGTACTGACCTTCCTAAAGAAGGAGCACTTTGAAGAATGTATTTTGTATCATAAAGAAAGTATTGAGCCTTTATCTTTTGAGTGAAAGCTGTTATTAAGAAATGCTGATTCCTCTGCAGTTCCTGTGCTATTTTTAGTCTATCTTCTTTCAGAGAGTTATAATGGTAACAGATAGCTCTAGGGAAAATTCTCCTCATGTCAGCATGTGCTGCTCTCAGCTGAGGAATACTTGATGCCTTTTGTAAAGGAAATACCTGTGATATACCTTGAGGAAAAGGGGGAGGAAGGGAGGCAGTAAGCGTTTTATAATCATTCACTGAACATGCTGAAGAGCTTAAAAAGCTTTTATAAAGTTGTGATGTATTCATCCTGTGTGATGTTCAACTTTGGTGTCTTTACTATACAATACAATAAAACGGTTTTAGTCATTAATCCTTTGGTTTGAACTGATTAAAATGGCTGGGCTGAGTGTTGCAGGTAAACTCCTCTTGCAGTAGGGGAGCTATCAGGTCATGTCATATTTTTGAGCCCTTCATTCCATTACATAGCTTATATTTGTGACATTTATTTGGCAGAACGGGATTTCAGACCCTGCCAACAAGCAACCTCGGGAAAAGTTATTAGCAATTAAAATGGAGGTGAAACTGAAGGGGGATACTGAGAGGTGTAGACCCAGATACTTCATAGCAACCTATTCAGACCTCAACAAATCACTAATTTCACAGCCACTTTATTTCCCCCCACTCCCCATTCATTTGCCTGCCAACCTGAGGTCAGCCGTATGCTTTCTGTCCATTTAGAGGGCAGCAACATGAAAAACTCCTAATAACTTCCAAAGAGTTTGGCACCTAACTCTGGGGAATCTCACCCGTTTCTGTGAAACTAGTTTTTGTGAACTAGTTTTTGTTGCCTTTTAATTTAGCACCTTCTGTTGCTGAAACATGAATTCTATTAGGCAGGAACAGAATTTCTTTACTGATGTGAAATATGCCCATATATGGCTAAAAGTCTACACAATTTGATAACAGACACATTGAAAAAGCATTTTCTCTCCTAAATTACTTCCCCATGCTCTTCTTTTTGTCGAAGATTTTATTCTTTTTCTCTGACATCCACCTAAGTGTCCAAAACATGCCCTGAATAGGGGCTGTGCCTCAGAGTTGAGAAGCCACCACACTCCACCACACTGAAGGTTGTTGCAGAGACAGTCCCTCTGGCAAGCATCATTTAAATGATCCTCCCTTGATTTTTTTCACCCCACCTCAACTCAGAAAACAGATTTAGCATATCCTCTTAGGTGGGGATTTACAGCACTAGCTGAGGAAGAGAAGTGTGAGAAGGGGATCTTAAAGTCACCAACAGCCTTTCCAAAAGACAGCACTTTCCCCAGTAACATTCACTCACTTTTCCTTAGAAGAGTTCCCATTCCTTGCTAAGCAGGTACTATTTACCTTTTATGTTTCCTTCTCTTCAAAGTAAAATAAATCTGCACAAATAATCAGTTCACAAAACTATTATCTAATCACAGTAACACATTGATTTGGATATCTGATCAACCTCTCATTCTTCCAGAGATACAGTAAGAGTGTCAAACACCACTGGTCAACTGTTTAAACTCTCCTCAGATTCCCTGGGAAAGGTGCCCTGGAAAACCTTTGTTTCTACCATATGCTTTTTGCCCTTGGAAATATTTGATCTTGTCAAATGGCTGCCTAACTAAGCACTAAGCAAACTCAGATCTGCTAAACTGGCAAGATCAAACGTCATTCAGACACTGCCAGGGGTACCTGGCCAGTCCTCACTTGATTTGTGATTAAACCCTCCGTTACACATATGGGAACAAAAAAGCCAGCTAGCTGGGTCAGGAACATATTGGTCTACCTTGTCACAGTTGCATGGATCATTTTGGTTATTATTTTACCTTGAATGCACATGCTGGCTGAACGCTTTTCACCTGTTTGCCAGTGCAATACAAGGTGGGGTTTTGGTACAGTTCTGCAATTCATCAGGGCTGATACTAATGCTGCAGATGAAGTTGTTCCTCCTAATTAACTACTAAATAATTCAGAGAAGATATTTTTAGGTTTTGTGGTTGCTTAGTGATCTTGCAAGAGTCACTTCACCTTGCTGTGCTCAACTTGTCTGTGCCAGTTAGTACAAGCTTCTGAATCCCAGCAGAATTCAACCTGTGTTTTTAAATCAGCCCTAATCAAGGCAGTTGCAGATAGAAAGTTTGGTTTGGGGGAGTTCAGACTCAGGCAGAATGCAACGTGCCCCAGAGCACACCCCAACCTAACCATGCACCACAGGAACTGGAAGTGGAATCACACATGGCATGGGGAAGCACGGATGGGCATTCTCTGCAGCTAACATGTTGCCACCCAAGTAAACCCCGTTGTGAGTGTCACAGTTGGCAGCATCCCTGCAGTTTGCTTACAGCTGACAGCATCAGTGGAAAAGAGAAAAGGAAACCAAAGAAGAGCTGCACAAACTGGAGATGACTGCTGCAGGTGAACCCAGTCCCTCTAGTTCTAGCCTAACACAGGAACATGCCATAGAAATGATAACTGCGCAAAACTCATGTGAGATCAGTGAGGCTTCTAAGCCCAGAACTCCTGCCACCTATGTTGGCATAAACCTGGAGACATGGCTCCTGTCACTCAAACCACAAGCTCCAATTCTCATTTACACTGAGGCTATACTATATTGCTCTGGCTGTAGCAGGGTGTAGCAGACAGTACATAGCCGTCAGTGCACCTGCGATTCAGACCTACCATTTGCAGAGTGGTGTAAGGGAGAGGGGAAGAAACCAAACCCCACCAGAAAGCCTCCCCTTGCTCCAGGGATGCGTAGCTGATGCAATTGCACTGCTTCTGGTTTTTGCCAGCCAAAGACTTGCCCTCTGGGCTTTAATGTAGCAATTACCTGAATGCTAAAAGCCAGACCTCTGGTCTCCCCAGTCCCAGCACAGCAAAGGTTATGTTTACAATTTATTAATTATTATCACTTATAATAATTGAACGCAAAGCTTCTTACTGCTCCTCTGTCCCCTGGGGTGACTCTCCCCTGCTCCAACACATTCCCACCCTTAGGGAAGATGTTGTTTATTATGCTGATCCCACAGCCCAGGAATACTCTCCTGACAAAGCCCCTATTAACCTCAGAGTGTGGGCCCGAGTTTCTCAGAGTTTCCCACACTTTCTTCCCTATTTATGACATTCAAAGGGACCACAAAGGAAGCGTGCCTCACAACAGCCCACATTAGTGACACTCTTTGGCTTTGCATTGTGATGACCAGCAATTCCTGTCCCGATAGACCATCTGGAGAGCTATTTTCCCAAGGAGCACATTGATCGATCAGTATTATGCCAGAGCCCTTTTAAAACTTGGGAATGTTATGCTCTTTGACACTAAATAGGTGTCTCAAGAGGGGTTGTCAGAAAGATTTTAAACCATTTAAGGAAGGCACACACAGAAAAATAAAAATCATAACTACTTCTTTAAAAACACCATCAATAGCATTTGTGAGAGGCTGACATGAATGCAGGAATTGGTCTCATATAAAAATGCTCTAGAAGTGATATAAAATGCTTTAAGCCATCATGTTGTATGCTGTAACTATAGCCATAGACGTACAGGAGCACTGCTTTTTCAATCTGCATAACATAGACAATGAAAGTGTGGGTTTCTGTACTCTCTTCTGTTAGCCCATCTTCCCCCAGACCTGTTGCTACATTGCAACATGCCGGGTTCCCTCGATGGAAAGCCAAGTATCAGATGGGTTAAGGAAGCTGTCAATTGGTATTACAAATCATAGCATCTTCTGTGAAAACAGTGTGTGTAGTAAGCTTGCCCCTGGGCTGAGATCATCACCTACAAACCAGAAGCAGAAAGCTCCAAGGTCCAGTACCCATTCCCTATGCCAGCAGTCCTCCAGCTGTTCCAATTTATGGACTGTAATGAACACAAGCCTAGTAATGATAGTCTTGGCATGGGTTGGTTGGTTTGTTACCTTTGCTGGATCCTTTGTGGTTTTCT